TCGATCTTAAGGTAAATGCTGGTGTGGAGGCCATGGAGGCACTATTTATCAAGGAGACAGAGAGCCCTCTCGGGGATAATGCCTTGCACACTCCACATTACCCTGTTTGGTCCTGGAGGATGGCTGGTTAGTCAAAGATGGGTAAGATTCCTCAAGGGAGGAACAACCTAAGACAGGCACAGCCGCAGAGGGGCCATCAGGAGAAAACTTGTGGGCCAACAGAGGTGAGGCACAGAATCTCACTCCCCCACCTGTGCAAAGGCCTAATTCTTTATCCCTTCTGAGAGAGGTCTCCTGCCCCCTGGCTGCTTTGCTCCCCACGTCCAGCTCAGATCGGAACCCAAGTGACAGAGACCTAGTCAACAGCAACTGCCTGCTCACCACAGCAGGAAACAACTGCAGCTTCAGGAATGGGCCATGTCTGGATGTTTCCTCTTTTCTCTTTCTTGGTTCTTATCTCTTTTTTCTATGCTTTTCCCTTTTCCTTTCTTTCATCATGGTTATCCTTTGGCAACAAATTTAATAAAAGGGAAGGAAATGGTAGAATAACTTTTAGTTGCAACTAGCAGCTATGAGCATCTTGGAGTACTTGAGGAATCCACATTCCTTCAGGCCTGACAGGAACACCTGCAAGATGGGGTGCTCTGCTCTAGCGAGCCATCAATGAAACCACATCCTCAGCACTTGTGGTTAGCATTGCCAAACTACTGGTCCAGGAAACTGAGAGTCAAGAGCTTCAGGGCATGAAATTCCTGACTCAGTAAGCCCCCTCCCTTAGGGACAAAGACTCTTCCAGATTGCTTTCCACCACGACAGCAATAGAGTTTCCTCACATGTGGTTACATTAGGCAGAAGATGATTGGCTTATGGATATTATCTTGCTTATGTATGATGGACGGGCACACCCAACTCGGAACCCTATAGCAGTTGTGTGCATTCCAAAAAGAGACTGAGCTACTGGACCAGCCAGTTCTAACCAGCTCCCGTAGTCTGTGTGTTGATCCCGCATCTCTACTCCCCGTGACTGAGATAGTCTAGTAACTAATTGACCACACCAGTGACAGGAACGTATGCAAGGCAGCATATGAAAGACCTAAACCAGCCAATTATGCTGGTCTTTAATGATTAACACTATATATGGACAATTGTCAGAAAGATTATTAAAATAGATTTTCCAAGGGTATTTACATTACTGACAGACCTAATAGACTCTTTAAATGTGAGAATTAAGAGAAAAGATGATAAATATCCTGTAACCTATAAGAATACAACTTACTGTATCATTAGTTATTGCCAGCTAATATTTCAGAGCTATAATATGCTGAGGTTAATATTCAGGCTTTAAAACAGGTGTATGTCAATTAACCAGACCTAAGCAAGCTGCTGGTCTCATAATCCCTAAAATGACTACTTTAAATATTATTCCTTTTTTTTTTTAAATTGCAGCCTTTGTGGCTATGTCTTAAAACTTACAATGTATGGATTTTCTTTTTTTTTAATTTTTTTAAATGTTTATTTTTTAGTTTTTTAGGTGAACACAATATATTTATTTTGTTTTTATGTGGTGCTGAGGATCGAACCCAGTGCCTCACGCATGCCAGGCGAGCACGCTACCACTTGAGCCACATCCCAAGCCCCAGTATGGATTTTCTTAATGTTTGACTTAAATTACTTCCAAAATCCTTCATGGTCAGATAAGTGCTGATGGAAGGATGAGAACTAAGTAATAATGCTCTACAAGACAATGTAATGAATAATGTGAATGAGCCCTCTGCTCTGTGGTTTATGGAGAGGCCTAAATGCCATGCCAATGAAAATGTCTATGTTACTATGGCCAAATGCAATGCTTCCCAATAAAATTGGGAAAAGATTAAGAATCTTCTGATGAGTGTTTGGCAAAGTAATAATAATAACCTGGATCTTCCAAGTTGGTTGTGTTATTAAAATGATATGTTTTCTACTAATTCCTTTTGTGTTTCAATAGCAGATCATGATAACCTCGGACCAAGAATCCAGTGACTGAAAGATAATTTCCCAGTTGTTTTTTTTTTTTTTTAATTTTAAGAAAGGGGGAATATGTGGGAGACCAACCTCGCACATGACTGAGTTAACTCCCCTCTGGGCGATGTGGAATCAGGCACCCATGCTGCTAGACTTCCCCGCTCTTCTAGGATTCGAGTGACTGTGTCTTCGTGCCTGGGCGTGCCTTCCTACATCCCCATGGGTGGAGCTATGCTCACCTGTTCCTTTGTAATATAACCCCTTGCCCCGTTTAGGACAGAATGTTTCATGGAAGTGCTTTGTGTGTCTCCCCTTTTCTTACTGTGCCCTTGGATGTGGTCTACCTAGATGTCAGTCAACCTGCTGACAGCGGACATCAAGAAGATAGACTCAGCCCCCCTGAAATCTGACCTCTTGCCTCATTTGAATAGCTTCTCCTCAATAAAAGGGGTCAGCGCGTGCTCTCTCTCTCTCTCCCTGTGGATCCTTAAGGTCAGAGGAGCTGTCACAGCGACCCCAAAGAAAAAAGTATTTGTGTCTCTTGTGTGGTTATTTTGTGCAGCCCAATCAGTGCAGTTCAACTGGAGTGACCCGTGAGCCTTTTAGAAACCCGGCATTATATTACCTTTGAAATCTGTGCACATTTTCTACTTCTGGTACATCTCACTTTGGACTAGTCACATTTCAAATGCTAAATAGCCAGATACAGTTTAGTGGCTAGTATTTGGAAAGCACAGGCCTAGAACTTTTTTTCTTTCTTTTTTTTTAAATGTTTATTTTTTAGCTTCAGGTGGACACAATATCTTTATTTTATTTTTTTATGTGGTACTGAGTATCGAACCCAGTGCCTCAAGCATGCCAGGCGAGCGCGCTACTACTTGAGCCATATCCCCAGCCCCTAGAACTTTTTTTCTTCCATTTACCTCTTTCAAAATTCTTGCCTGCAAGGCCTATCAGGTCTCTTTCCCACCTACCTTTCCTGTCCTCCCTTTTGTTGTGTAAGTTAACACAGCTTTAGCTTGTCCCTCTGACTCTGAAGTTTTAAGCAGTTCTCTAAGTCAATGTGCTAAGAGGCCTAGAATGTTGTAAAGGGGAAAGTCTATCCTTACAAAAATCACATTTTTTTGTCCCTGCCTCGTTATCTATGTTTTATCATGTATACAGTGGCCAGTCTGATGTTTCACATAGCATATTTACTTCATTGCTGTTGTCCATTTTCACAGAACACCTCTAGGGATGTATTGAGAGAAAGTGTAATCTTAGAAATATTTTTAGTTTCCAGTAATACCATCATGTTCAGATTCTGCTTAGGTTTGGGATATAGACATAAAAAATAACACAAAAACTATGACTATAGTTACTCATAGGAGGTATGAAATACAGTTGACCTTTATGTTTTGTTTTCCTTTCATTTATTATAAAGGAAAATAGTAATGAAAATAATCCTGTCTTCCATAGTTATTGACTTTAGGTTTTTCTGTTAAGTTTGTACTCATCCTGCAACCTCTTGAAGAATTCAAAAATTCTTACTTAAAATGTTTTCCCAGTAAAATAGGGAGTGAATAAAATTCCACTAAATTTATCCAGAATGATAAAGAAATATTCTATTTAAGGGAAATTGTGTTAAGTTAGTATTCAAATACTATGACCTTAATTTTAATAATTTTTAGTGGAAGTTATTAAATTTGAATACAAATTCTGATCTTTATATCCATAGAGCATTAAATAGAATTTATACTTTTCTTAGATTATTTGTTGCACTGAATTACATTGTATACAACAATGTAAGGGAGGGGAAAAGGAGTAATTTTTTGCATGGCTACTCTCCCAAGAGCTGTGTTTCATGTTATAGTAGTTATTGCATAAATATATTATTATATAATAGTATTATATATACTATATTGTATGTATTATATAATATATATTACAAATATGGTTATATAGTATTATATTTGATTCTTAGTGTGTCTTCAGTTCAGTTCTAAGTGTTTGGAGAAAGATGCAGTGTTCTACCTACTAGGAGACGTAATCGGGTACCCACCTGCTCCGGCAGGTTGTAGAACTAGGATTTGACTCCTGGCAGTGTGGCACTACAGACCCTCCTTTAAAATATTCCTCCATTTTACTCCTGTCACTAATGTAAACTTCACCACAAACTTCTGAGGGTAGATATCAGCATCCTAATTTTACAGATGTGAAAACTCAGGACCAAAGAGTTAAGTAAGTAACAATTAAAATCAGCTGGCAAGATGTGGGCATTTCTTATTCTTGCTCTCCCTCTTTCTCTTTTTATTCCTTTTCTAGGACTTTTTAATTTTGGCCCAGGAAAGGTTTGCATAAGCCAGTCAGTGAAAACATTTCTTTCATCTCTCTTTGGTTCATTTGTTTGCCTTTTCCTTTCCCCAGAAAATATCTTTTATAACCATGAGTGTTGGGGGCCGCCCTGGACAGGAGCTGTGCGCATACCTTTAAGTCCAGAGTAAAGAGGTACTGGACTGGTATCACACCTATTGCAATGCAAGTGGACTTGCCTCTGCTTGGATTGAAAGGTGCAGCTCTGGGAGTTGGTGTTGCCCAACTGGAGTGGGCTGCCTCCTTGTCCATTTGTAATCCTACCCTTTGCCCTTTTTTGGATAGAATGTTTCATGGAAACTTCCCTAGTGTGTCCCCTATATAAGAATAAAGAATTCCTGTGGCTCTTTCTCTTTCTATGAACCCCTAAGGTCACAGAGCCATCCCTGGATTTTGAAAAGGTAACTCTGTGTGCTTTTTTCGTAGTTTTCTTAAGTTATTGAAGTAGTCAGATTTTGTGAACCCAGCATAGGTTGTCAGTTTGGATGGATGGCAATAAATGGAGGCCCCATTTGAGAGTGATTTGGTTTTCTATGCTACCTATGATCTGGAATCATTGAGATAATTATTTAACTGGGTAATTTATACAATACTTTCCTTTTAAGAGTTTATTCTCAAACTATTGACTGTTTTTTTTTCCCCCCCAGAGAAATTGGGACAATTATCAGGTCATTAGGATGCTGCCCTAGTGAAGGAGAGCTGCATGATCTGCTTGCAGAGGTAGGTGGGACTGAGAAAATCTTGCCCAACCTCCTAGGCTCTGACTCCTAACTTTTTTTTGTAATCCTTACTTGAATTAAAAATTATTTAAACTACTGAATGTGTTCTTTGAAAATAATAGGGCAGCTGTGTATATCAACCAGCTGACCTAAAAAACTTAAATCATATATTGAAGAAATGACTATTATCAAGTAACATAATTAATCTAATAAAATCCACTTTAATATTATCCTCTTTTTAAAATTAGGTGAGGAAAGGCCAATAGATACAATGTACTGACCATATGCAGAAAGACCAATGACAAATGAAAGGCATATAGTAAATAAATAAATAGAAGCAGAAAAAGAAGCTGAGTTTAAGGAATTTATAATTATTAGAGGAAATTAAAAAAACTTTCAGAACAACAATTAGTAACAGAATAATAAGTTTATTTTTTATATTGACTTTATTTATATATAAATAAAGATATATATTTATATTTATATATCCTGACTTTATATTGACCATTATTTGAAATACTGATGTAAAAAAAAATCACAACAAATTTAAAGATCTTGATTGGTTTTATTTTGTGATCCTAAACTGAAAAACACTTCATTCCATAAAGTAGACTAAGCATATGAACTGAGCAGAGGAGTTGATTTTATAGAGAAAAGCCAAAGAAAGCAGAAGCAAAGAACAAAGACTATTAGTTATTTTACTTTCTTATAAGGCAGGCATAGGAAGACAGAACAACAGTAAAATAACTGGTTGATTATCACCAGGTTGTGTGTGTGTGTGTGTTGTGGGGGTGGGGGGGGGGTTAAACATTTAGAACTTCATTATTATGCCAATCCAAAATGGTCTATTTGAAATATTTGGTTATTCTGTGTCTCTTGATTGCTGGCAAAAGAAGATAACAATTTAATTTTGGTTTGATGATCTTGAACTTTAGTATGACTCCATTTTGATTTTTAGCCTGGTCTTTTGGAGCCCAATAGAGGAGCTTAATCCAAAACCATAGCCTCCTATAGCTAAGTCTCTGGAGAGTTAAAGCAACAGATGAGCAACCCAAGACCAGAGACCTTTCATGTCCTGTTTGGCTTTCCTGTTTTGTTTCTGTTTGGCTTTTTTTTGTCTACTATCTTCCCCTCCCTCCATCCTTCCCTCTTCTTCTTTCTTCTTTTCTTTTCCTTTTCCCTTCCTCCCTCCTACCCTTTTTCTTCCTTTGAAACCAGGGGCCCTGTGCATGATAGGCATGCGCTTTATTTATTTTATTAGGGCCAAACCTTCAGCCCTAATCTAATTTTAAGTGCAGCTTTCAGTTCAACAAAGCACAGACCTTAGGGGAATAAAGCTACCTGAGCCACAGCAGGAGAAGAAGCTTTTCAGAATTGCTTATCTAAGTTTGTGAGTTTTGGCAGAGGCCAGGGATTAATAAAGAGGATAAGAGAGAAAGGCAAAGAAGTGAAATTTTATTTACCTTCTTTTTCTGCATACCTAGCACATTCCTTGCTTATTCATTGTTTTGTTGAAGAGAAGGAATTGTGATCTGGACAAGACAGTTTTCTCTATAGTAATACTTCAAAATTTGCTTCAAAGTAAATGGAGTAAGTTAAATGGTGAGTGGCATATGTCCTGTAATCCCAGCATCAAGGGAGCCTGAGGCAGGAGATTCACAAGTTTGAGGCCAGCCTCAGTGATTTAGCAAGACTGTCCCAAATAAAAAAATAAAAAGGGTGGGGATGTAGTTCAGTGGTAGAGCACCGCTGGTTTTAATCCTCAGTCCCACCCCATCCCCCCCAAAACGAATGATATCTGGGGCTGGGATTGGGCTCAGCGGTAGAGCGCTTGCCTAGCACGGGCGAGACCCGGGTTCAATCCTCAACACCACATAAAAATAAAGGCATTGTGTTGTGTCCATCTACACCTAAAAAAAATAAATGCATATATATAAAAAAAGAATGATATCTAACAAGACATGTTTTGAATCCTGGAGAAATATATATAATTAAGTCATGGAAGATTACAAAGATGACACTGTTGCACAGATATTAGCACCTTGGAAAATAGAAAGCAGTATCAAGTTTTCATTAACATTTAAAAATATTCAGTGAGGATATTGAAAATTTTAAGAATGCATTCTTTTTCCATTCTGAGATTCCAAAAAGGTATTTTTACTGAGAGTAGGAGGAAAAAAAAACCATTTTTCCTGTATTGGTATTCACATTAAAAGGAAGAAAAGAAAAGAAAGATACCTTAAAGTGTTTATCCAAAAAATAAAAAATAAAAATAAAAGGAATTGGTGTTAGAGAGAGGCAGCCCAGCATACTAGGGCAGAGTTAGAAATCGGAAGATGAATATATGATGTCATAATAATTGTTGAGTGTTCAGTAGAATAAATAGAGCAGAAATGAAAAATAACTCTGAAGGTCAGAAAAGGAGAATCTTTAGAGTGTAGACCCTTAGTAATTTTTAATGTATATTAATGTTTTAATGTATATTAGGATTGGCAAGCCATAACACTGGCCAAATTGATTTCTTCCCACCACTTATATTTGTATATGAATTTTTATGGAACATTGGTTAAATCCATTTATTAACATGTTATCTATAACTGTTTTCTTATCACAAGGTTGTAGTGTGGACAGAGACTCTGCAGCTTGCAAAACCTGAAATATTTATTGTCTGGCTTTTTACAAGAAAGGTTTGCCAACGTAGAACAAATACTACAGCTAGTATCAGAAGATCTGGATTAAATCTATAGTCTCTGCCTATAACTATGTGCAGAGAGCTGCTTGGCTTTTCAAAACCTAGTTCCACTTTTGCCAAAGAAGTATAATAATAATAAATGTTTTTCTGAGGATTAAATTTAATAGCTGTAAGAAGTCACCTGTTACTTGGTGGACATTTGGTGCTTATTTGGGTTTGCTTGCTGTGCAGGTGACTCTCTACCATAAACTGTCTAACTGATTTGGGCACTTAGCCACAGTGGACTTAGGTCTCAAGTTCTTGTTTTCATTTGTATTTATTTATTTATTTTTGGTATTGGGGATTGAAACCATGGGTGCTTTCCCACCAAACTACATCCCCAGCCCTTTTTATTTTTTATTTTGAGAAAGTGTCTCACTAAGTTGCTGAGACTGGCCTTAAACTTGTAAATCTCCTCAGCCTCTTGAGTTGCTGGGTTTACAAGAATATGCCACTGCTCTAGTCCAAAGTTTTATTTTGCCTTTACCTTTTTCATAGGCACATCAACATGGCCTTTGAAAATTACAAAATGTTTAAAAAAGTTATGGATCAATGGGGATCAGTAACCTATCTGTGTTTTTCTGTATTTGTATAACACTACAGTTTATTCTAGCTAAATTTTAGTAATGTACTTAAAATAGCTTTCACTATCCTTTTTGAACTTTCCCAAATAAACAAGGGGAAAACACACATATTTATCAAATGTCTATAGGAAATTGAAGCTTTTAATAAACATCTAAGGGAACATGTCATATTGCTAAATGTTCTATTTTAATCTATTTGTGTATATGCTTTAAAATTATTCTATAAAAAGTTGAAATCTGTGTTCACTTCCATAGTTGTCGTCCACTTGAATGTTGTGTAGAAACCCACTTCTCTCTCTTTTTTTTCTTTTTATTTATTTATTTTTTAATTTTTATTGTTGGTTGTTCAAAACATTACATAGTTCTTGATATATCATATTTCACACTTTGATTCAAGTGGGCCACTTCTCTCTTTAATTTCTACAGTTTCAACTCTTTGCTTCCCAAAGATCAACTTGAAATCTTATGTTTCTCTTTAAATAGATCATTGAAAAAAATCACTTATTATAGACCATTTAAAAAATCACTATCATCATCCATGCAATATTCTATATTTAGTTACTTGCTTTTCTTCCTGTTTGTGATATTCTAAAAACTGGCAGCTATGAGAGGGGTCAGTAGAAATCTTGTTGACATATAGTTTACCTAACAGTCCTTCCTTTGATATTAAGTTTCTCGGATTTACAGCATGTGGTAACCAGAAGGACATAATAGCATTTTAATACAAGTAGAAAGAATATTTAGAGGTTTATATCCTTTGAAGTTCAAATCTAAGTGGAATTATGGAGGATTTAAATTAATTTTAAAGGAGAACTAAAAGATTTTGACAAATAAGACCTGTGTAGGTAAAGTTATTAACTGAGGCTTAGGAACTAAGTAAGCATTGTGCCTTTTATCGGGGTGACCATCCTCAGCCTCCTGTGCTCTTCCATTCTTGACCTTTCTTGGTTTTAGATGTTAAGAAGCATCCTTGTTGGCTATCCATCTATTTTACTTCTCACTCACTGTTCTATTAAGCATCTCTGCAATTTCCCTTAGCTCCCTCTTCCACCTTACTGGTCATGATATGAGACCTCTTAGCTTCTGTGGTTTAGCAATTCTTATCTGGTTTCTGTTACCAGGGTTTCAGGGAGTTGGCTGGCAAATCATTCCATAGGTATTAACAAATCCAGATTTATGACTGCCTAATCTTGTCAACTCAGGCCTGCGGAGGGGACCACGGCAGAACTTAGTAATGCTATTGCCTTTTCACCAGCATGTTCATGGGGTTCTTAATGAGCAGTACATTGTCCATTCTACTCTCTTCCCATGGAATATAATCTTCAGGTGGGTTTTCTGACTCATACATGATATATCCATTCCAGCCTGCCCACCTATTAGCTGACCTTTCTATTTTACTCACTGTTTGGCCATCACTTGATTTAGGTCCGTAAGGGCCATCCTGGCAGCAAATTTGCCCTATCTCTTGGTTCCTTGCCAATGTGTTAGGTCCTATGTCCTGAGAAAGGACCTAAAGCATTCTTACTTATCTTGTGTTGTATTCCAGCCTTCTTGGTCAGCTGTGGGTAACTCACTTTCATCCTATCTCAGAGATACTTAGCTAGCTTCTTCCACTTCATGCTAATTTCTTTTGCTATTTCAGTGTATAGCCTCATTCTTCCAGTATCAGGCCAGGTTATGCTGGGA